TTTAATATACAGGGTGTCCCCAAAAAATTGACACATAACCTTTCTATGCATATGAAACACTTAAAAAACATTTTCATATTCACTGAAAAATCTTAAATGTGATACAGCATTGCAATAATGAGAAAAATACAGTAATAATAAAGTAACTACAGGTACTGAAGAGAGAGAGACTATGTATGTACATAGGTAGGTATACAATATTGAAAAAAATGTTGTAACTTACCTATTTTATTTATTTATTCAAAGCTTTTATGTACCATCCTTCACTATGTCCAAGGATGGTGAACTTCATTGTCTTTAATGTAAGCCCAATAGAAAATAACTTGGATCTTTAAAAGAGATCTACCTGTCTCTCACTATCTTCCGAAGTTCAGTGATAATGGGAGGCCAGAGCAATATAGTCCAGTGCCTGCTTATTACATTCAAAACTCTTTAATCCATGGTGAATTAATCTCAGTGGGTCTGGGTTCAGGGGCAGAGTTGGCTGAGCATTTGTTGAGCTTCCATTTCTAGCTTCTGATGGAACACATGGCTTAGTTTAAAGAGAGGCAACTGTGTTATCTGAGGTGTTGAAGAGCTTGTTGGGGATGGTGAAAACATTTGCTCTATGAAAATGGGTTTCCATTACTATCTCTAGGGAGATGCAGCAATCGATGACATGTCAGCAAATGCGTTGCATGGTTCTCTAGAGATAGCTGTGGATAACTCCTAGCGAAAAGCCATAAATATCTCTAGAGAGCTAGGCAGCCAATGATGATGTGTCACCAAATGCCGATTTCCCAACTACATTTCTTTCATAGCAAATTCAGTTCCATAATTTAAAATTTGTTACTCTCAAGAACCTCTGCTTCATCTAGCATATAGCATCTGTGCTACCACCATTTTCAAGAAGGAAATTACAATGTGGAGGGAAATCAGTGGGAGGGATAGCTATTAGAGATTTATCAACCTGCATTAATTTATATAAAATCACATTTTACATTATGTTTGTTGTAAAAGTACTGAAGAATCAAACAGAAAAGATAATTGCCTTGGCCTTTAGACAGAACAGAACATGGCAAGAAGCCAGCCAGCACTGTTACATGTCTGTATGCCCAAAGATGTGGAATTTAAGTATGCATAAATTATTAACAGAATTGTGGCAAAATCCCATTCATATTTTATTTTTAACTTGCTTTGTTCTGTACATTCTGCCTTTTGAAGGCTGCTGCCCTAGAAACAGAAGCAAATGGATATTGAGCTTTTAAAACTTGTCTCTTTAAAATTCTTGTTTGTTGGTTCTAGCACAGCAGCTGTCTGTCAGGGTGCAGGGGATATACCCTCAGGTTTTTATCCTGAAAATCTGTTGAGAGATGAAGAAGATCTTTCCTTGTGTATAGTTGGACAATAATGTTACAGAGAGAGATTTGATTTGATGTCCCCTTAGTTCAACTAGAAACTCTACTGTAGGAAAGCCAAGGTATTGAAGCCGCATTCTAGCCACACAGCCAATGGGATTTTCTCTATAGATTTATCTGTTGGAGAGAAGCCTTCTGTTTCATGATTTCCTGTTTAATTGAGCAAAGAAGTGAGGCGCTGAGGATTGGCTAGGATTCCTGGTAAGTGTAGCCAGTCATTTATTTACAAGAGAGACAAAAATGCTCTAAACTGACCATCGTCTCAGTCTTTCTTCATCATCATGAATGGTGTAATGTTACTTAAATAAACCCTAGTGTCATAGCAGAAGTTTCTTGCTCAGTTAATGAGTATAATGGGTTTCCCTGTGTTCTGGTTGCTGCTTTCTTTGCACATAGAAAGCCTTCAGCTGGGATTAATTTGGTATTCCTCAAGAGAGTTCACATGCAGAAAAGACCTTGTATCATTGGAATAAAGCTATTAGTTCTTCCTTCCTGTGTGTTTTTTTTTTTAAAGTAAGAAAGGACCCCATTCTCTACACCATTTCTGTGAAGATTCCTAAAGACTTATTGTAAGCTTCTCTTACGTTGATAGATGGGATAGATTATTGTCTGCTTTAGCAGTATGCCTAGTTTCATCAGAAGGTTTTTATTTATTTATTTTACTTGAATGTATATGATGTCCATTAATATATACTCTGCGACATTCACAGAACAAATAATAATCAGAAGACAAAATAGATTTAAAAGCAACAAGAATAAAATGCAGCATAAAACCCTGCTTTTCTAGCCAGAAATAAGAGCAGGTAGCTCACTTTATAGATCAAAACACAACTCAAACAGAGTTTTGGTTGCCTAGTAGGCTTGTTTCATTCATGGAGGAATTGTGATGCTATCTAATCATATGACCTTAACTATTGCAATAATGTATGAAAATGGAAATGTCACCAAGTATATCTTTGAAAATGTATTTGAGTGGTTTTTGAGACTACAGTATTTCAACAAATGTGGATCACATAATAAAACAAATATGAAAGAGCAAGCAAGCGACTGCTTGCAGCAGGACAATAAATGGGTGTAATCCAAAAACCTTTCACATCACACATGTCCCAGTGCTTTTTTTCTTACTACTAGTTATTTTCAGTGGAAGTTGATTATCCATTAAAACATTGTGCATTCTTGATTTTCTTAGGATTCTTTTTTTTTTTTTTTGAAAGACCATTATCTTCTTCACAGAAACCAACAATTTAAATAAAAGCAGGTGTAACAGTGTTACAATGAAACTCCAAGATTATAGCAAGCCCAAACTAGGTTCCATCACCACTACATATTCCACAGATGAAAGCAAGTGTTAAGACCAAAAGGTTTGCTTTGATCTTATTTTATATAAACAAAGTGTATTTAATGTGAAGATAGAAATCTCATGAAAATTTTACCTATAACTTTAGCTTTAGTTTAAAATGAGAAACAGAGAGAAAACATTCCCAAAAACAATACATTTTGACTACCCAGTTTGTGTAGGAAATAATAGTGTTTTCAATCACCAGTATTCATAATCTTCATAATTCTTTTCTAATGTTTTATTACATTAAAATGTGTACATAAAAGTAATCACCCCAGAATAGTGATAACTCCAGAATTCCCTACTACTTATAGAAAAAACAATCAGACAAATAAAATGTTTTCCAAATAATCATAATTTTATTTCTGTACTGCTCCATAACTGAAACTCTCTTGGGGTGTACAAAAATGCACAAAACCAAAACAATAAAATACAAATATCACAAAAACAAAGCATTAAAGTACATTTAAAATATTCTCCGTCTTCTCTCTCCAGTCCCACATTCAACAGTTTTTAAATAAACCTTTCTTGTGCTTTGCTAAATATGTTATTTGAAATATGAGAAAGTAGAAGTGAGTTATTTTCTTTGTGCAATAGTAAAACACTTTTTTTTTATTTTATACTCTTTTATTTGCTTATCCCTCCCTAACTGCTTATTTTGAGAGCCAGTGTGGTTTATAATAATAGTAATTGTGTTAGTCCTTCTCTGCCTTTCACGAAGCTGGAATGGCCCCAAGCTTGGATGCATGTACTCTGGCTGAGCAAAAAGCTTAGAAGCCAGGTGTTCTAGCGTATTCCCACAGACAGTTGGTGGGGAGATACTGCACAGATGCAACAGGTGCAGTAAGCTGCTGCTGGATTACCCTCCCCTAGTGAAACTCTAATATTGTGCTGCACCTGCTGTGTCTGATCACTGACTGCAGTTTTACTTCCATAAGCCACAAGGGAAGTGCTTAATTCCAAGCCTAAAAAAAGGAAGGTTTTATTTTTCATAAAATAAGGATGCTGGGTTACTCTTAAAACCATAGTTACAACAATATTTTAAGCCATTTTATTCCATTAACAGATTATTATTGAGAAGTGCAGTGTTTGCCTTATTATAGTCTAGCATTATGTTATGTGTAATATTTTATGCATGTATCCAATGCACTGTCCATAATTAACTTGAATCCACATAGTGATCTATTGTTCTTGCTGTAAACTGTGCTGTAAGAATCTGTAAAAGTTGAGTGGATCATGCCCCACTCCTAAAAATACTGGATATTTTTTGTGCTTTATTTTAGAAACCTTATTCCATAAACAGTTTTTCAGCCTTTTCCATGTCATCTCAGCTCCTCTGCAACAAGTGGCTTTACCATGCTTATCACTTATCACTAAATCTTCTACCCACAGAGCATCTCATCTCCCAGCTCCTGCTACTACATTCTAGAATGAAATAACTTTCTTTGTAGTGGTTACTGTCCTCCTGTGGCTGAATCAGTTCTGGCAAATTATAGGGCACTCCAAAAGGCAAGACAACAAAACAGGCAAATTGTCTAGCATGGATGTTTTATTTCAGTAGGAGATCAGTCTAAGACAAAGCACGGTTAAACAGTCAGCTACTTTACATAGGCCCAAAACAGAGTCAATCAGGAGTTGACTCTGGAACATAAACACAAGGGTCACACATGAGGTTCAGGTCAACAACAAGGCAAGGTCTGGAAAACAAGGTACAAGGTACTGGAGCTGAAAGAATGGTACCTTCCAGTATGGACTGATACTGCCAGCCTCCTGTGCCCCTATCCTGGGTTCAACTGTAGTTCATTATAGTCCTCTGCCAAGAGTCGTAGTCATGAGAGTTGTTTCTTCTCGAGGAACAGTCTTCTCAGGGGAGACATACTGCCATGCTTCTTGAGGTGATGATACTCTTGAGGGCCAGGGAGATGCTCAGCCTCTGCCTCAGAGGTAGAGTTCCTTAGCTCCTGCAAGGATGGACCTGTGGCTACCTACCTTAAAGGCCCAGGCTACTCCTGGCCTTCTGACATTGGCAGATCAGGGGTGCTTTTTATCTCAGAACTCCTCTGAGAAGGATTCCTCTAGAAGGGGTATGACAGTCAGAGACTTGCAACCCCACATGTTCTTTTCAGTAATTGTTGGGGCAGAGCTGGCACTAGATTCCAGTGGGTCTTGGCATAGTGTTGCCCATGTCCTCCATCCTGAAATTTGAAGTTTGGTAATAGACATACTTACTGAATACAATGTGTTTGTTTCTTTGTTCATTGCAGGTTTTCCAGGACCTTGGTACTTCAGTATTATCTGGTGCTTTTAAAGGGTACAATATTTGCCTTTTTGCATATGGACAAACAGGTTCAGGAAAAACATACACCATGATGGGAACTCCCGTGAGTTACACTCTTGATTTATGTTCTGGGCTTTCAATTTGTTTCATTTGCATTAAGACTATGTATGCAGTAGATAGTGGTGTTAAGTATTCTAACTATGTTTCTGATAGTACTTGGTAACTGTTATTGTAGGTAAGTATTAAATCACTGAAACTAGAACTCGCTCTCAGAATCCATTCCGTCTTTTATTCTGTGTTCCACAGTAGGCTGTATCAAATGCTTCAGAAAGGGATAGAAGAATTTCATATTAATATGGAGAATGAGTAAGTCACATGTGTAGTGGAATAGGCATTACTTTAGTCAGATATGATAGACATTAGAATCTATGCTTTTGCCTTCTGGACATATTTTCATATATTGACCGCAGTTGTCCAGTTCTAAAAGCCATTTCTTGCTTTGTGCACCTTGCTTGCTCTTGCTGTGTACTTGTAGCATATTTTAGTCTATATTATTTAAATTAATAGCATTTACATTTATATATTAAAAAGCTTGTCCTTCCACAGAATAGTGACCTACGTAATTTTCAGTTTTTACAACTTAGTGTGTTGTAGCCATTGAAGAACTTACTCCATAGGAGCATCCTTGTTTAAAAATAGTCCCCCTTTTGGAAAGACAAACTGGGCCTCTCTCTTCTAAAACCATTGTGATAAATTAAACTCATCTTTTAATCTCCCAGAGCTCTTGTTGGCAGTTTATTCAAGTTACATATGTGTTATTTCAGCTTGTTGGTACTGATTCTGAGATTCATTCTTTGTGATTGGACTGGAATAGCACTGGTCAGACTTCACCAGGAGTATTGTGTCCAGTTCTGGGCAGCTACATTTTAAAAGATGCAGAAAAACTAGAAAGGATACAGTGGAGGGCAACTAAGACAATTCAGGGACTGGAGGCAAACTCATATGAGGGATGATTGAGGGAAATAGGCATGTTCAGACACAGACTAGACACCAGGGAAAATTTCTGTCAGAGCAGTACAACAATGGAACCTATTACCTAAGGAAGTTGTGAGCTCTTCCTTTCTAGAAACATTTAAAAAGCATCTGGGCAGCCATCTGAATGGGATGGTGTAACTCGGTGTCCTGCAATAGCAGGGGCTTGGACCTGATGGCCTTCTGGCTCCTTCCAGCTCTACTATTCCATAATTCTATGATTCTCTGTCTAGACTGTCTTTCTCATGTGCTTTTCTCTCACTATTTGTTTTGCAATTTACTGTTGTTTGCATTTTTGTGACTGCCTGAGGGCTTTTGCCCCCTTCGACTCCCTTTTGGAAGTGTTTTCATTGTCAGAACAAGTATCCACCAACAGATGGCCATGAATAAGTAGATCAAATCAAGACAGAACTTTCCCTTGAAGCAAAATATGAAGCTGACCTACTTTGGGCAATACTTTCTAGAGAGGACAATAATGTAGGGTTGCAGTGATTCTCCCCACAGTCTGGCCCTCCTTCTTCTCATGTTCAGCCCTTGCTGGCTGAGAGGAAGTCTGTAAACACTTGCTGAAGTCAGGTTTCATCACCAGCTACCTCCTCCTACACCATGTGCAGCACAAACCTTCTACACCATGTACAACTGCAAGTCATGTGTGCAGAGGAAGGACACCACTTGCACAGCTTTTGTGTGAGTTTGCTTCCTGGCAGGTGCTCATGCAAATACTCAAGCCACTAACCAGGAAGTTGGACTCACAGCCACAAGAAAGCGGGCCCGAGTCTGGGATTGCAGACCAGGAAAACTGATGGATCCCCTCCCCAAAAATGGATATTTCACATATCACTACAATAATCCTAGGAAAAGTCAAAGGCAGGAGAAGAAGAGAAGGAAGGCTAACTACAAGATGGATAAATTTCAATAAAGGAAGCCACAGCCTTACGTTAGCAAGTGCTAAATAAGGCTGTCAAGGACAGGACATTTTGGAATGCATTTATTCATAGGCTCACCGTAAGTCACAGATGACTTGACAGTATATAACAACAACAGCATTATCCACCCTCCAGCATACTTTTCCCTCCCCTGTAGGATACAATTTAAAGTCCTCCTGATACATTTCTTTATGCTGTGGGCCAAATACATGTAGCCCACATTCCCAGAATCCAAATCTCTCACATTGGTATCACCTTTGTAGTCATGGATTCACTTGGAGTATTTTTCTTTCTTCTCTTTTCCTTTTCCAAGAACTGAGAGGATGGAAGAGAAAGCCATCTGAGCCCCAAAGTTCTTGATCGTCCTCCCCAAAGCTTCGGAGTCTGACATTTTTTCTTCAAAGCTCTGCTTGGCAGTGTCATTTGTCCCCATATGGATAAGAAAGAAGGGATATGTGTCAGTGGGCTTTATGAGGCTTGGCAGTCCTTCAGTTATATCTCTAATCCATCCTCCATGGGGTCAGGTTACCTGGCAAGTCCATGGGTCTTCATGACATATTTGTGTTTCACACCCATGAAGCAGGGAGTTTCCTGCAACTAACACTCTTCTATTCTTGTTTGTGAAGGTCTTGGTATCATTCCCATTGCTTGACTGACCAGCAGCCTCTTGCTCAATGTTTCATGGGATGACTTGAAGTTCTTTCATTTCAGGCTGCCTTCCAGTCTCACCCTCAATTATTTGAAAGCAGTTCCATAGTTCTACTTCTTCCAGTGACATAGAGTATCTTCTAGTTCTTTTGCTCCTTTCACCCTTTTCCAGAAAGGTTCTTCCTCATTTCCCCTTACCTCAGGATTCTCTTCTGCCTCAGCTCACCGTTGCTTTTCTAATCAGCTATAATAATCTGTATTATTCATTTCTCATGATATGATTAAAATATTCTAATTTTCTATTGTTTATGCACTTTATGTGTTGTTACTCTCATGGTCCAAGTAGTTCATAACAAAATCTGCATATCAAATGCTTCTTTTTTATGGTAGGCTGTGTTAAGCATCATGATTTCATGCTATACAATAAAATTAGGAATACATAACACCATAAGTACAATGTACATTTCTAAAGTTAATTTTAAGGGGGGTTTGCATGTTGCATTATGTAATGTGGCACAGATTTACTTTGTATGGATTTCCATCTTTACAAAATGGTGCTGTGATGCAACCAGACTTTCTTTCCTAAGCTCATCTTTGATTTTCACTTGAATCAGGACATTATTCTTCTGGCTTTCTTTTCTTTACTTCAGTATCTGTTATACATGTTCTTCCATGACTGGATGCTTGTTGCGTTTTCACATTCCATAAGCCTGCAAAAAACCTTTGTGTTGCTCATCTCACCTATTTCTCATTTGAGATTCCACAGAAAGGCTTCCTGGTATCCTCTGAAAAGTTCTGTTTCTGAGTCTTTCATGCTGTTAAACTGGCTAGCTGGTCTTCAGCTCTTGAATCCAATCTGAGTTCATTCAACTCAAGTACTGGACACATCAGTGCTGTTTACTAAGGGCATCCTTTTCCTGTACCTATCTCATGTCACTGTTGTCAAAGTCACCAACTTTCAAAAGTCACAGATTGGACACCAGGGCTAGAACGAATTGCTCCTTTGGATATGGGGTTTTTTGTCTGTTCTGAAATAGGACATTGAACCCACTTCCAGGGAATCTGTTTTTTGCTTACCTGTAGGAGTAATTCAGAGACCTCTAGGAAGAAAACAGGTTGCCTACCTATAAGTTTAGTTCTTTGATTGGTCACCTGAAGATTGACATGCCTCATGCACCATCCCTGCTTTGGAGTTTACTTTGGTCCCAGGGTTTCCTTCAGTTCTGAGACTGCACTCAGTGGTCTCAAGGCACTGGGGAGGAGTAGGCGGAAACCCACCAGGAATATTTGGGAAGGTGGGCAAGTTCATGCACGGAGCCTGTAAGTGTGAGTGCTCTGATGAGCATTCAGATAACTTAGTTACAGGTAAGCAACCTGGTTTTTCCCTCCCCTCCGCTAGACATAATTACAAGCCTGGCTTTATTATTATTAAAGCTGGAGTATTTACAAGAGTTGAGCAAGGCTTTCATGGATGGGGCATTTTGGAGGCCTTTCATTTATAGTGTCACCATAAGTTGAAAATGACAGTAAATATCAGCTATTCCAGCATTTGTTGCTGTTTGCATTGTTGCCACTGCAATTCAGCTTTTGCCTTCCTGATCATTACTGTTTGTAACTTTCCGTTTTATATTCAGATATCACCACAAAGATCTAAAAATTGTGTAAATATTAGCAGCACATTTTAAGAACAAATTAATAACAGTAAAATGATTTCTTTTCTTTCCAAGGCATCCATTGGATTAACACCACGTATATGTGAGGTATTTCTTTTATTCAACCAAAGATTTACATTATTTGTACCTCCTTGATTTTTTCTCCAAAAAGCAGAAATGTAAATGTTTGATTTCCATAGGGTCTGTTTTCAAGAGAAGATGACTGTTCAAAGCAGTCAGCCTCATGCAGAGTGGAAGTCAGGTAGTTGTACTTTTCTGTCTCTTCCCATGTGATTATATAGGTATTTATACATTCTGCCTCTTCCTGTAATTAAACCATTTGCACTTTTCCTAAGGCTCCAGGAAATTTTCTTGAAGTTCGATAAGATTTGTATATTGTTATTGTTTTTAGTTACTTTTTCCTGAGTTACGATTTCCTTGAGATTTTAAAAAATTGAACTATATCCAGCTGTTATTAGCACTGATAATGGATCATGCAATACAAATCTGGAGGCCCGTGGTCCCGAAGGGTCTCCTGATTGACCCCCTGAAGGTAATGATGATAGTATGGTAGCCCACAGGCTCATCCTCATAGCCCTCTGCTGACAAAAGGAAATGTAGTGGTAGTCAGCTGGATAACGCCTTTTTATGTTAACTCTTTTTTCCCTTAACCTTTGAATATCGGTGATCTGACCCAAACATATGTTGCTGGGGGATGGGGAACCAACCAGTTAAGGCATAGGAACAACAAAATTGTGGTTTTGAAGTATCAAATAAATGACAAGATTGGGCAAACTTTCCTGAGACTAGGAATATGTTTTGTAAGGGAACAAGATTGTACTTTTCCACCTTATCCACTGGATGCTGCCTCTGAATCCACTGAATGTCTATGCATGGGTGTAATTTTACTTAGGGCCTACATGCCGTATATTCAGATCAAGTAGGTGCACATCACCTGCTTGATTCCCAGTCCATAAATGGAATGATAATTACACGGATTTGATTTTATTTCAGCCTTTTGAATGCATTGGATTTTATGGATATAGGCCCCATTCTATCGAAAAAGGCTGCACATTTTATGGAAATGTGAGGTCACAGAAATTGTTGAGTATGAATATCCAGCAGGCCTGGAGGCATGACAGGTGCACCTGGTAGGAAGGCAGGAAAACATAATCTTGTTCCTTTACTGTGCATATCCTCTGTTTGTGAAATATATTCAAGCTGATCCAGAATCTTTGTATCATAACCTCTTCTTTTCAGTTTCCTAGAAATCTATAATGAGCGGGTTCGAGATTTGTTAAGACAGTCAGACCACAAGAAACCATATACACTTCGTGTCCGTGAACACCCTGAGATGGGACCATATGTACAAGGTTAGTGACTTTTAGTGGGACTGCAAATTGCTGTTTTGCACATATTCAGGATTTCTCTGTCTTTCTCTTCAGTCTAATATTATCACTTCCCCTTAACTGTATTCTTATCCATTTTTCCTTTGCTATTGTTTATTGTTTCACACTTACCTCATATTAACAATGAGAAGAGCGTGAGTAATTGTTCTGATACGGTCCAAAAACTATCAGGAGCCATTCTCCTACTCTCATTGGAATAAATAACTCCAGAAGTTCATATGATAGTTAGCAAGGCATTGGCCAAGTAAGGCTTTCTATTAACCCTTGCTAAATCCAGTCATCTTTCAGGAGCATCATGGGTTGTTCCATAAACAACCCACACAATGTTGCTTATTTGAGGGTGAGTTGTTGCAATATATGAACTGACCCACTGTTAGGCATCCTTTCTCAAGTGCTGGAATTTAAAACTGTTTTGAAGTTTGGGGGTTGGAAGGTTCAAGTTCAGGTTGGAATCAGTCTTTCTAACCCTCTGATTCAAAGCCAAGTTCAGCTGAACTCATATGAATGTCTAATGGAACTAATTGTTGTTTATTGTACTGTATGTGTTTTAATTTAACATATTCATTATTTTAAGGTTTTGTTGTAGTGCCTAAAGTAAAATAATATGTCTTGGCATTCACATGACTGAATCAAATTTTAAATTATCTGAAATAATACATGGAGGACAAGAAATACTCTTCTGTTGTCTGTCTGTAGCTGAAAATTTATTGATTCCTCATGACTGTACAATGCCTTTATGAATGAGAAATCATGCCTTATAATCATTTTAAACAACCTTGCCTGGAAAGAAAATGAAAATTGTCCAGCTATTTAGATATGACTTTATTAAATAAACTGGTAAACTGTCGATCTATGAAGAAAGAATGAGGTTTGAAAAGAAATAGTTTTTTATTGTAAATCAGAAAGAAAGACAACATTCCGGAGCTGTTAGAGATAAAAGATATGTAGGGCTGTATTTATGGCCTGAGGAATTCAGCTGCAATATATCTGGCATAGCTGAGGACCATGGGTTTTGCAGGTGCACTGCACACATATAGAAGCCTCAGGCCTGAGGTCATTCTACAGCCTTGAAGCTGCAAATGGAACCCTCTCCATGAGCTCCATCAGTTTTGACACACTCACCCAGTGCCACTTGGGTATTTTGGGTGCAGTTTTCAGTGGTATTCACCTGTTAATCCCTTGGCAAGAAAAGCAAGGGAATTTTGCCACTCTTGCCAAGCAGTGCACCTGTAGTTGGGCTTAATCCATGATGGATTGTATCATGCTTGTCTGAACAATAAAACAACCAGCATGGGTAAAAAAAAAAACTATAAGCCATAGTTTGTCAGGGTGATTTGCAAGGTAAAAATAAGTCACCCAGACAACCCCATCCTGGGCTTGATTGGCATGACAACCAACTGTGACTTATTCAGATATACGCAGCTGATTTTCCATATCTAGTTAATCCAGTCAATGTGCTGGGCATGTCCAAGAAGCTGTTCAGCAAATTCATATTATTTCCAGAATGGATTGATGCCCACCTCTGATAACATTTTAAATTTAACCACAGCTTCAGGAAGCTTTTAAACGAGATACTTTTAATCACAAATGGTTGAGTTCAGTCAGATGATCTATATAAATAGTGGGGCTTCTTGTATTTTCACATTGTGGCATTTGCAGTTTTCATGTGATAACCTTTCCTACAGGAATTGGGAAAAATGATTGCAAGTAGTGAAAACTTACACTGTTCTGATCTGTATGGTCAAAAATATTCTATGGTGATATGAGTATTTCTTCTTAGATTGGAGTGAACCTAGACATTTTTATTAGTGCTTTCCAGACTTTTATGAAAAGAACAGTGTCACTGTGTATTAATAATTAATAAATATGTTAGTAATTATGAATTTGGAGATCGTGCATAGAGTCTACTGGACTTTTGGCTGAAGATTATTTGCTAGTTATTCTTCCAGCTGCCTGGGCATTTTCTCCTTAATTAACAAGTAGACTTAACACAATCTACTTACCAAAAAAAGGAAATAAAGCCCTGTTCCATGAAATTGTTTTATAATGGAAATATATGTACAGGATTGCTTCTAATAAACTAGGTAAGTAATGTCCATCTGTAGAAGTGATGTTCAAAATTGTGTTTCTTGATGGCATTTACCATTAAAGAGTGACTTTCTAATAGAGATCAGAGGAATGGTGTAAGAAGGGCATTGAAGAGTAATGGTGACTATTCAACTTCTGGGAAAGCTGCTTGAACACTTCATATAAGTCCCCCATTGCCTAGCATCTGCCTCTTATGATAGCTCCATATGTTCCCACAAAGCTCTGAAACATGCCTGCCGCTAACAGTGAAATGTTGTGGTTGATACTTTTAGAAGGCTTGGATAGATGCCTAAAAAAATGAAATACAGTCTTTGTTAAACAGTGTCATGTGATAGATTTAAAATGCTGATGCAAGACTGAATGCACTGATTGATTTTAACTTATTAGTCAGAGGATAGCTTGGTATATGTACACACATTTCAAATTTTTAAAAATCAGAAGTATGTACAATTTTATTTTTCCTTTATTTAACTTATTTATTTAGAGCAGCAGTGACTCTTCAGATATGTTTGCTACAACCCTACCATCAGCCCTAGCAGCTGTAGTCAGTAGGAATGGATAATGGAAGTTGTAGGCCAATAATCTGGAAAGCCACAAGTTGTATATTCCTTCATTAGAATATCCACCAATATGCAATGTATGCGACCCATATTTCTCTCCATATGTATACTCTCCACGTTAAGTTTAATGCAAACTACTGACAGTCAGTTTTTTAAAGCTTACCACCTCATTTCATTTCATTTTCTTTTATTTCATTTCCAAATCACCCAATAGCCAAAGCTGAGCCATTCACAAAAATCCAATTAAAAATGCAACATAATAAAAATGCAATCTAAAATTTTTTACATGCAAAATTTAAGAACTATTTTAAAAGCTAAAAAGTTACAATAAGTTGCTGGAATCTGAGAAATCAATTGATATCAAAAGCTCTTTCATATGCTGCCGTATTCCTGGAGAAATAGCTTCACATTAAACATTTTGGGTGTTTGAACTATTGAACTATTTGAACTATTGTTATTCATTGCAACAAATATTTGAACAAATATATCTTGGCCTTTAAATGCTGAAAGCCTTTCTTCTTACTGGAATGGTTTCAAAATTCTGATTTACAGATGGCTCAACTGTTAAGGAACCAGCCTTTCTTAAATCAGGAAATTATGTATTCAAATACAGATTTCAGCTGAGATAGATTCTGAGAGCTTTCTGTGCTATTTAAAAAGCAACAAAACTGTGTTTTTCATGCCACTTCTTCTGTATCAGTGTAGCAGTTTTAATGTTCAGAGTAAAATGTAGATTACATAGAGTATAAATATTTGTTGCAGAAAGTTCCATAAACTGTTAATGCTTTCTGTAAAGAGGTATTTTCTTTTATTTTTCATATTCCTTCTATGAACCTGGGCATTCATTAAGATCTGAAGCCCTTTTGAGGACTCCATTTACTTGACAAACATGTAAAAGTGCTGTATTATCCTCAGTCTGTGGAATGTACTCCCCTTAGAGTTACTATTGATTCTCATTGGCCTTTGATTTGTTTAATGTCTTAATACTGGTATTAATGCCAGTTTTAGTGGTTGTGATTTTTATTGCTTTGCTTTCTTGTACACCACCTTGGTGGTTTTTACAGAACGTTGATATAAATATACTTAACATAGTAATAAATAATTTTATAAATCTCTGTCACTTATCAATGACCAGGACGAGGTGATAACCATTCTGCTGACTAAATTCACAGATGGTACCAAAGTGGGGGTGATGGCCACAACTGAGGAGCAGGTGATCCAGATCTGGACTGACTGTGGAAGTGGGTGGGGGACAACAGGATGGCGTTCAATGTCTATAAGTGCTAATAGGTGTCACAGGTACGGGATGGGGGACAAATGGCTGAAGAGCAGCACTTGTTATTATGAACCATCCTGAGACGTCTGTGATGGGACGGTATACAAAAGCTTTAAATAAATAAATAAACTTAGGAAAGGGATCTCAGTGTGGCTTCCAGTTCTAGGGAGATGTTGATACTGCTCTCCATGATTTTGGTGCTCCCACAACTGGAGTACTGTGTCCAGTTCCAGGCTCTACATTATAGGAGAGACTTAGCTAGGTTAGAATCGGTTCAGTACAGTGTCACAAGAATAATATCCAGGTTGGAAGGGATGACATATGAGGAGAGATTGAGGGAACTGGCTCTTTTCAGCCTGAAGAAGAGCAGACTTCAATGGCATCTTTTTAGTGACTTACAGGTATGTGAGGGATGTCATGTGGACGAGGACCATGACCCGTTCTTCCCTGCAGTAGAAGGCAGGATGCTTTCCAATGGGGCAAAGCTCAAGGAAGCAGGCTTCAGTTTGAATGTCAGGATGACAGTTAGGACCCCTGTGATATGGCATGAGCTTCCAAGGGAGGTGGTTGAGGCTCCATCAGTAAGGGTATTTAAGGAAAGATGGGACAATCACATGTTGGAGATTACATGAGCGGAGTCAGCTGGAGCTGGGGGTCAGACTAGATGGCCTAGGAGACCCCTTCTGATTTGCTTTGTTTCTATGTTTCTAAGTGGTGGTATAGAAACAAAATAAATAATAATTTTAATCCAGGGTGGATTCATATGATCTTTTTAAAACAAATTGGAATGTCATGCTGTAAAATTGGCAGGACAATATAAAAAGTCGATACAGGTAACCATTTACAAATTGATATATATTTCATATATAAGCCATTTCATTCCTACATACGTAATTAAGGATACAGTCCTATGGCTGTGAGATACAGTCCAGGCAGCCATAGAAAAATCTGTAGCATTGTATGTAGATTGATATTTAAGAACTTGCTTGTCTGCAGCATGACACTTTCACCATGAATTTTGCAGTGTAGCATTCTTCTTCAACTTGTAGTTTCCTTTTTTAGCAAGGTCATAGAACAAGCATTAAATAATTGTTTTCTCTTCTTTTCCTCATGTCCGAATTTCTGTTGATATCAAGTAGTAATAACCAAGTCTCAAGAAACTTTGCATTTCATTATTGCCAATTAAATTATTCTGATCTCTCTTGACTGCACAATAAAACATCAACTTAGATCAGGATCCAAACAACTGAACATGAAACAGTTCCTGAGGCCTTTCCAGTTTCTTGGTTGCTCTAACCCATGGGTCCTCAAACTAGGATTCTTTGGATCCGGACTGTAGTAGGCCTAAACAGCAGGGAGGAAAATTCATTAACTATCAATCCTTTATTTTTAAAATGTCTTGCAGGTCTTTCTCAACATGTGGTTACTGACTACAAACAAGTAGTTGGTCTTCTGGAAGAAGGAATAGCAAACAGGTATTTTTTGTTTCCCTCCAAAAATATTATTTCCTTATTTATATAGATTTTTCCAGCATATTATAAACCATCTTTTATCAGACAGGAATTTTTAATACTTGTAATGAGCATGACATAGTAGTATTTCTCTAGGCATTTAAGATTATATTTTAGTACTATCTAATCTTGATTGTGTGGAAAATATGGATACTTAGGTAAGCCCTAATTTAGTTAAAATAGTTTCTGAGGATAATTCATTATAGACATGTTTGTTTTTACTAATATTCTATTATATAATATTATAAATATTATAATATTATAGTATAATAGTTGATATTACATTAACTAAGATAATGTAAGACTCTGAAAGATATCTTTTGATCGCATAACTATAACTATATGGGGAGCATATAAGCAGGATAATATAGCATGACTAAGGGTGCTTCCAGACAAGGCCTTTACTGTGTCATCACACCATCTCCTTCATGGAATTTTTGAAAAGTCACGTATTTTTATAGTATTTTGTTTGCTGTTGTGAACCTCCCTGAGAGTTTTGGGTATTGGATGGTAGATCTTCAATTTGTAGCATTCCCATATTTCCCTGTTGCTTCTTCCATCTTTTTATCAGTTTTAGTTATTTATTTAATTTCATTTCTCTACTGTCCAGTAGCAGGAGCTCTCTGGGCAGTTCACAATATAAAAGATACAATAAAATACATTATAAAATTCCAGTGTGGAAATTTAAACCAGCTAAACATTCCAGTATACAAAAATATTAAACAGTTTAAGACCTGGAAACAGAGATGTTGTCCCTGTCCAGATGGAAAATACCTGGGCCACCAGCCAAAGCTGGTAAAAAGCAGTCAGTGCCACTTAGGCCACCTCAAGTGACAAAGATGGATCAAGGAGCGCCACCAAGCTATGAACCTGCTCTTTTAATGGGAGTATAGTCCCATCCAAAACAGGTTGAACACCCACCACCCAGTCAGAGGGACCATCCCCCAACAACATCACAGTCATAGTCTAGATTCAGCTTCAGTTTGTTAAGAATTGTGCTGTAGGCTTTTGTGTTACTGTTGCTTTTCACAAAAAGTCACTGAGGAATTGGAAATATTTTTCTATTTTCTGAGTTTAATTGGATTTGTTTCCCCACTAGGGAAGATGATGATGATTGTCTGCCAGTTTCTGCCAGCCCATCCAAAGTGCTTCTGGGACACTTTGAAGGGACTGTCACTGGCTGTCACTCAACTTTCATGATCTCTGCGGTAAAAAAAAATTAAAAAAAGGTCAACAGGGAAAAGGTACACCAAACTGTAAAAGGTTCACAATCGTGGTAGAGACTATGGGAGACAAGTCACTCCTCCCACACTGTCCCCCAGGATACCTGGCGGAGGAGGCAAATAATGCACGGAGAGCCGGATCGTGCCTCACATACACCACAGGTTGTTTACACAACAGCCAACACCCCCCCCCCCGCTTATTGTCTATAATTACCCTGACTGTTGTTTTTTGCCAGGGTAGGTTGGTGTGACTTGGGAACACACTCGCTATGTAATATTGAAAGCCTCATCATTATTTGTGTGTGTGTCTCTAGCGTAAGTTTTCTGTCAAAATGGCAGCATAGATCAGAGTGATAAAACTGTCATAAAACATTAAATAAAGCCTATTGGTACAGTGTTTGAACATCATGGCTTTTAAAATATATTGATTTTAGAAACGTACTTATTTAGCTTTTGTGTACCTAGCGCAATCCAGAAGTATCAACATGCAGAAGGGCTTGCGATGGAGCATAGATAGCATTTGATAAAATGTGCTTTCAGATCTGAGTCCAAGGGTAGGTCCAGAGACATGCATAGCTGGCAGCAATAGTGTCACCAAATTGAAATCTTTTTTGGACTGTGGTGTGTCAACTTGATACTTTTTGCATAGCTCTCTAGTCTTCACTTGCCTCGCAAAATATGAAATATTAACTCTGCTTTTCGTTATGTTTAGAATTACAGCAGCTACGCATGTTCATGATGCCAGCAGCAGATCTCATGCTATCTTCACCATTCAGTATACTCAAGTTAGTTCCATTTTATATCCCAGCATTTCTGAAACCCATTCAGACAATGTTTATAGGCATTGTTTTGAATATTAGAGGCATGTACCAAAACTAGTTGCATGCTTTTAAAACTATGGGACCTGATCTTATACATGTAGGTTTTAGTATTTTCTTAAAATGGGGCTGGAGAACATTTTTTCAGCTAAGAGACCTATTTTCTTCAGTACTCAATTGGGGGCCGCATGCTAGTAGTGGGAAAGGCCAAAGTCAGACGTGGATGCACCACCTCACATTCTTGTAAAGGAGAGGACATATACTCTTATTTCAGATAGTCTTCCAATATGGTATTATTTTGTGCAAGTGACTGTGCATGAATTGGAGAACTGGTATTGTCCCCTCATTTATCAAACCTTAGACCAAATCTGCAACTGCTTTTCAAATTTGTTGGATAATCCAGGGGGGGAAAAACCCCAGAGGGATCATACGTGCATAAGAGTAACTGAATTCTGTTTTTAATTTTCCTCCAGGCTATACTAGAGAACAATCTGCCATCTGAAATTGCAAGTAAGATCAATTTAGTGGACCTTGCAGGCAGGTAATATTTTTGTTCTTGAAATAGCACTGTTTACTTTTCCAGAGTAATTTCTACATATATGTATTAGCCATGGAACTCCTGTGCATTGCACACAATCCTGGATCATGTTTAAAGCACACCATTCACACAGACCAGTAGGCAGAGGGACTGTATCTGTGGACTTCAGCATAAACCTCTAGCTACAGTGAAAGGAGAAATCACTATCACTGTGTGAGATATTTTTCAAGGAAGTGGTTTCAGCGTAGTCCAGAGTCCTCCAGAACACAATTTGAAATGCATAGTTGCATAGTTATAAACTGACAGAGGCCATATTACAAATTTTACTTTTCATAAATTCTAATCTGACAGTCATTATATAGTGGAAGCAAGGAAGTTTTTAAGAGAAATCAGGGAGACAAAGACAGAAGAAGGAATAGATTTCATAAGATAAGTACTAAACAGTATCTATTTAGTACTTATCCGTACTTAAACAGATTTGGTAAAAGTTTATTTATTGTGCATCATGCATTGGGGTTTGTATATAATAAATTAGTACTGAAGTTAGCAAATTGAAGAGTTATGGTTTGGAATGCTTGTGCCTCCTGGTGGATATACATTGGTTATTTAGAAGCAAGTATAGTTACATCATTTTGAGTAAATTGAAGAGATAATGCATGTTAATCTGTACATGATGCATGAAAACAAGAGGTAGAGAGAATTGTGGATCATGTGACTAATAAGGTGGGCTAAAATATAAATAATAATAACAATAAGATCCTGAGCTTGTTTGCACAATCAAGCAAAGCACCTTGGCTTGTTTTAGTCCCTGACTATGCCTGGTACCATGTCCTTATTACCCACCAAAGCAGAATTTGTCATGACTGAATCTGTGTCGGCATAGCTTGTTCCAAAGGAGATTAATGTCACTTATGCCATGGTGGCTTGCTTTGATTGTATGAACTCTCTCATAATTGTTGTTGAGAACTTGAGTTCCTCCTTCATGCATTCAGAAGTCACAGACCGTTTTCCTTGCAAAGCATTCTTTACTGACCCAAAAGCTCAAAGCACCCAGACTGAATCTCTGAACATGTACAGAGTATGAGCATGCCTGGACTCCGTCCCTGCAGGAGGGACCTTCTCAAAGCGAGCATATCACCTCTCCTTGCACGGATTCTCTAACTGGGCCACCCTCCTCTGCTGAATCAAGGGGAATACCTTATGGGGAATCAGCTCCCCAAAGAGGTTCGCCTGACATCTTCTTTATATTCTTTTTGGCAGCAGGCAAAGACCTTTGTATTTATCCAATATTTTAGTTGTTAGGTAACTTTAAAGGTTTTGATTGTGTTTATTATATCTTGTGCTATTGTGCCTTTTTATTGGCTTAAGAACTCAAGTTACTGTGTAGTTTTATTGTGAGATTGTTTCTGTTTTGTGATTTTACTATTGTAATATATTTGCTATCTATGTCCATTTTTATTATGTATATTGCTATTATTATGCATTGTATTTGAAACCCACACATAGTAGCTTACAACGTTATTTGTTGCCCCCAAACAAGCCACCCTTTGGGAAACAGTCTAGGTTCTCATGACATGACAACCTCCAGTGACTTGTCATATGCAATGCGTTCTTTTGTTTGTGTGAACCAAGTCACTAAAGGGTTACATTAGCAAGGATCTCTTGAGTCTTTAAGAAGCATCAGCAAGAATTTATTTAAAATCACCTATGTAAAGCATAGTATTCTTTTACGTACAAAATATCCTGGTAATAAATTAATGTGTTTAATAGTTCATCTTGTCTCTAAGGTTGATGCTCATCATACATCTAAATTTCCAGAAGGTTTTAAAGTACTCTTAGAGATCTAGTGGCAGTTGAAAAGCTAGGGCCAAGGGCACTTGTGGCCTTCCAAATGTTGTTGTACTCCTGCTCTCATTATGTCAGACTGGTGGCCATGCTAATTGAGGCTGATGTTGGAATCTAACATCATCTGGAGAGCCACAACTTCCTTAACTCCTGTCCTCAGCCCACTGATGTGGCATGTAGAAAGTAGTTTTCAAATTGCAGTCCCATAATTAGGAAACTGCTTCCTTGCTCACTTTTGCAAAATTTAAAATTGTGCATCTTTTGGAAATATGAAATCTGGTTTTTGGTTCTGGTGAGAATTGAGTAGCATTTTAACATTTTGAGGGCTGATTCTTTGTTTTTTATATTTTGATTTTATACTGGTGGCTTTTCATTGTTGCTTTTCTCAGAGCCATATTTCTCATTAACCCTCTTCCACTGTGTGTTTCAGTGAAAGAGCTGATCCTAGTTACTGCAAAGATCGGATTACAGAAGGTGCCAACATTAACAAATCACTGGTTACTCTTGGAATTGTCATCTCAACTTTAGGTATAAATGGTATTATATTTTATCTGGATAATAGCTTGACACAACACTGCAGTACTAACTAGCATACTGAATTGGACCATGAAACATACCAGACAAACAATCTTGATGCTTCTAGCTTGGTACTGTGACACGATTAAGTGAAATTTAAAATATGTATTTCAGTAGTTTTCAAAGGGAAACAGCTTCAGCTTAAAAGAGGATAACAAATGAAACATTTTACATGGGGACATGGCCATAATGTAAATAACCTGTCTTAACAGAACCAAGAATTAAGAGGTTATGAGAAACAGAACTTTGGGGGTGCATATTTTTCTAAATATGATTTTCTGTTATTTTACAATTCAATACCATGTTCTTAGGCCACACAGATGGGTAGAAATAGCCTTCCTGGGCAGAGAGCATCCATGCTATTTTCAGCATTTTTAAAAGACAAACCAATCTGTAGGACAATGTATGCTGATGCAGGAAAATATGAGCCCATAACTGCTGAAGGGAGTTGTCAGTAAGCTATCTGCTGACTTCAATAGCAGTAGCTTATTAAGAAAACTGGGAGCTTCCTCCTTCCATTCCGGAATTGCTGGATGAATACTCTTGCTTGGGAACTGTAAAACACAGGGGATCCTAAATTAACTAATACTTTTTAAAAAATGCATCTAAGGTGAGGTAGAGGAAATTTTACTATCTATTAACACTCATGTCTTTGCTATTACTGACAAAATTCATGTTCCATCCAGCAACCCACCAGGAATAATGGCATTATCTGGTAGTAAGATGATATTTACAAAACATCACAGTTTTATTTCTCAGCATTTGCAATACACTAGTGACATAAGTGCTACCTTGGGTAAAGATCTTTGGATCTACCCCAACGAGAAAGTGATGTGTATTTGGCATGCATCAGAAACTTGTTGTTTTCCCCCTCTAGCACAAAATTCTCAGATGTTCAACAGCTGCCAGAGCATAAACAGCATAGCTAGTGAAGGGGACAGCAACCATACAGACAATCACTGTGGAGCCAGTATCAGCAGCCAGAAGCGACAAGCTTACATTCCATACCGTGACTCCATTCTCACCTGGCTTCTGAAGGACAGTCTGGGCGGCAATTCCAAGACCATTATGATTGCAAGTAAGTTCAAAGCTCTTATTTCCTTTTGTGTTGAATTAGAACACTAAGTGGTATGTCTTGAACTTTGGATGCTACAGTTTTTAACCTCAGCATTTTTAAAAAAATGTATTTTGGGGAACATACAGGGTGATTCTTTGTGTAATGGAGGACTTTTCTCCTAATTAGTTTCTAATAAGGAGAGTTAATCAGTTTCTAATCAGTCTTCTTAAAATCTGAAAACTGTGAATCTGAGTTTCTGTTTCTATTTAAAAATGTATAAATATTCTATGTAATATTTCTATTTTGAATAAATGCAAAGCATAGAATATGGAAAGATTGTATGCCTTCACAAGTCTTTAAAAACTGACTACTGCAGGAAGATTTTTTTCAGAGATGAAACTTTCAGTTGATAGCATTTTGTAGTGAACATGTAAAACCTTCCATTAGCTTTGTATGCACAACTCTGCAAAACATGGAACTTTTAGAAGGGAGGTCTTCTGTAATCAACATTATTCTTCTAAGTAGGAAGCTGATTTTCAGAAATTCATATAAGGCCATCCATACCTCTTTCAAATTATGTACAACATAGAACAGCATAAATACCTAATTTGGCAATAGCAGTAATATCAGCATGGATGTGGAATGGCATCTTCTATCATTCCAAGAATGCCATCATCTGTTTCTTCATTTGAATAGATTTATATGTCATCTTTCAGTTGTGTTCTATTATACACAGGCTAGCTAATAGCATTTATAAAACAAAAGCAAAATCTATTAGCAATATAATAAAAGCAAGAAGTCTGTTAATAATACATATCCAGCAGATCAATTGCTGTTATAAATACAATAGCAGAATGTCAAGAGAAGGGAAGCCAGACCAAGCTCTGAGGGCAGAGATTTCCATAATTTAGCACTTCCACAGAGAAGGCTTTCTTCCTCATCCCAGTTAGTCATGTTGCCACCATCAAAGGTCTGGAAAAGAGCCACTCTGCCATTTTGATGGAGAAGGCAGACACACATAGAGGGGGTGATCCAGAGCTGCCTAGAATCAGTGATGTGTGCTCTCAAGGTAGTGTACTCATCAAACCTTTATTCCCACATTGGAGATCAGTTGAATTTTCCAGAAACTCTTATTGCAACATGGTGTAATTCAACCTAAATGTAATTCAGGCATGTGGCAATCTGACCTGCTGAGGAATGAGTGCCGCTTACACCTAAATCCTTCTAACAACCCAGAAGGTTTTTAGGTTCCTTGTTTGTTTCCTTGATGTCTGTCTCCAAGGAGAGTGAACTGTAAGATGTAAACTGTGCATTACTTTATAAGATATAGCTCACACTTAAGCTTCCTTACTCAGAAGTAATTTAAGAGTCAGGTACCATGCTAAGGTCCCAGTCTGGATTGGGGATTCTACATGTTTTAGTTTAAAGAGTGATATGTTGCTTTGACCTAAGGCTTGGATTGTAAGCCTCTGCTCCAGTGAAGGTCCACCATAATCCATATTTTCAACAAAACATATTTTATCATAAATGTTTCTTTATTTTTGTAATCTGTCCATTCACACATAGCCAATAATCAGGTGAGAATTCCAAAGGTACATTTTACTATCCCACTTTATATATTTGTCTGCTTCCACCCATCGCTGCTTCAGTGCCAAGACCATGAAACTTATGGTGCAATTCTATGCATGTTTAGATGGGGAAAAAGTTGTACAACACTCACCGTAGCTGGCTGTGACATGCTGACAGCCGCAGAACTTTTTCTGTCTAACAGTGCATAGGGCTGCTCCCTTCAACCCATAAAATTTGGCATGCATCCTTGGGGTTGTTTTGTTTTAAAAATGCATTGATTTAATTATTTCAAATTTATCCATATGGTTGAAATCTGTAGTGATATTTTCAGTCACTAGAGGCAGACTTCCCTTAGTAGACCATACAATTGGAAACCTGGGAGATTTGCAGGCAGAGACATAGCTTGCTCCTCCTATGGTTCCTCCCTCCCTCCCCTGAAAATGGAGTAGAAAGAGTTCTCCCTCAAGGTCTGTACGGGTGTAACATAGCAGTGGCCATACCTAGTGGTGCCAACTCACCTGATTTTACTCAGAAAGGTCAGCCACAGTGTATCAAACACTGCCAGTTATATAAATTTGCTTGCAGTCTTCATCCTGGTGAAGCTTTTATTGTATAATGGCCCTGCCTGACTTCTGGAATTTTACAAAGGTAAAGATGATTCTTCAGTTTGTAATCCTCCCATGTTTTCTCACTTTTTCTGTTTTTATCCCTTTCAAACAAGCAAGCCAACACCAACTATTAAGGAAGAAAACAAGGAATAGGTGTACAATCCTTTTTAATTGATAGCGCTAGGGCCCTCTTTCTGAAAACACCGGAGTTTCTAAGTTTTGGTTTCAAGTCCCTGTTTAGTCAAAAACTTGGTAGTTAGCCTCAGAAGAGTTCATACAGGGGCTTGAGAGAAGCCAATTGAGGGAAGATAATTTTCTTCTATCAGACTAAACACCTTAGTTGATGTCTTCAAAAGAATTTTTGTCTTTAATCATTTATATGTATTAAAACTTGTTTGTGTGTATAGTTTTACCCGGTCACGGTGGGTTATTGTTTTGTCTGAACCTTGTATGTTCTCTGCAGGGTGGCTTAATTTTTGTGAACAAGCCAGCCTGAAAAACTGTGGTTTGTGGTAGGACACATATGGTGGACTGTTGCTTTGTCCAAATTCAGGACATTGGTTTTATAATGGGGTTTAAGAATTGATTACAAAGCTTTTTGGCAGGAGAGGCAACAGAGGACATACTGCTCTTTACAATCTTTATTTTATGGAGTAGCTGATGACTCAGGAAAATGTGGAAAGAGTAGAAGACACTGACAAGTCAAAACGAGAGAATTCCCTTAACCAAGGATACTACAGTGGTACCTTGGCTCACAAACTCCTCAGTTCACAACCAAATCAGGTCACAAACAGACATTTCGCTGCAGGTCACGAACTCCGCATTAGGTGACGATTGCGAGTGTGCCCACCTTCCCTGCATAGGTGCGATCTCGGTCATCTGGGGGGCGAGATGGCTGCATTCGTGCTGGGGGGCGGGGGGAGATGGCTGCAATTGCATCCGTGTTCCCTGCCTGAGCACGTCTGTGCCCACCTCTCCCCCGCGCACCTGCCTAAAAAGAATAGTTGCAGAACAGATTAACCTTATTTACATTGACCCTTAATCCTGGAACAGATTAAGTTTGTGAGCCAAGGTACCCTGCCCTTTTAATGCACTCACTCCATTTTGCAATCCCTGCCCCCATTTTTTTATGCTTCTGAAGTACATAATTGGATTCCTCTTTTCTCTTACCATAATTTTCCTTGGTTCTTTGAGGTTATGTGCAAATTAGCATATAAACAGCTTTGCCATCAGTTACCTTGTATTTTATCTACTCCATCTCTTTGGCAACTGAAACATAGAAGGACACTGATTAGTAAAGACCTTTCCTCCCAGATTGGTGAATCTGCATACTTGGCCTCTTGTCGAAGAAAGGGGAAAACATTTTTTAAAGGTTATAAACACATGTATGTATTCCTAAAGTGCCAAAATCACAAAGGGCAATGAACAAATAGGGGTAATAGTTGGTGTGGGGAGAGATAAGGCAAGTGCTACTACAAAGCTGGGTGGAGGACTGAGGAGCAAGTATGGAATGAACAAGCTATAGTAAAAACCAGTCATGTGTTGGGCATATTGTGGATTCTTCAGCACACAAACAATCCACCGGCTGTGTTCAAACACCATGACAAGCCACCCTGGATGGTTACCATGGTTTGCAGCTTTTTACCATGATCTACCTGACACACAAATAAGCTAGATGACTGAAGCAGCTCCTGCAGTTGCTGCTTTTTCTGTGGTAATTGCATACCATGATCATTATCCTGGGTTCATACAACGTAACAAGCAATGGAGGTACAAAGAAATCATAGAAAAAAATTTTGTTTCTCATTAGGCCAAACTTAGCATGGTGAACTACCACAACTAGGGTCAGACAACAGAACAGCCCAGTAATGCTAAAAAAAAAAAAACCCAACATAGCTTGTTGTGTTGTCTGAATCCAGCCACTGTGTCTTACTTGCAGAGTGGCCTAGTATGGTTTACATGCCTAGCCATTCTTATATGTTATTCCTATCTGGAGGAATAAAACGTGCTGTCTGTCTGTCTGATTTCTATTCTACCCATTAACCAATGAGCTTTTTCAATCAAAGTATTATCTTTGCTGTGTTTTAAATCAATCCCTTTCTCTCTCCGTCTCTCTCTCTTCATTTGTAGCTGTCTCTCCTGCAAGCTCTTGTTATAATGAAACTATGAGTACATTGCGATATGCCTCAAATGCTCAAAACATTATTAACAAACCCCGGGTAAACGAGGTGAGTTACCATGCTATTTTTTATCCCTTCTCAATAAAGTTTCTTTTTCATATATCAGGTAAAGCAGGGTCTTACTTACAAAAGACTAACAGAAAATCTGCAGGCCTACTTTTTTAAAGTGTGTATGTGTGTAGATAACACTGAAAATCTCTAAGAAGGGTCACGGTATTTTTATTTCCCAGTTGTTTCTATTTTAACTTTACAATTGTTCACATGTTTTAAAGGTATGTTTTCATTGTAAATTAACTTATAACTACACATGCTCTCATACTGTGTAATTACGGTTTGAGTAATAACAGCAGAGCTGGAGAGTTAAGTAGGTTACAGTAGGTAACTTAGAATGGAATCCATCATCCTTCACTTCCCCCATCCCCAGTAACTGACAGGCTGTACTTTATGGAACAGCAATGCCAGGATGCATCCTGCAGATTTGTTTTAGAATCATTTGTTTGATATTATTTATTTTCATACTGCCACATTTTTAAAGAATATTTGTCCTCTGCTTTTTCAGGATGCAAATGTGAAGCTGATCAGAGAACTACGAGAAGAAATAGATAGATTGAAGGCTATGTTGATGAGTTTTGAGCTGGTGTGTAGAAGTATCTCTAAACTGAATAAAAATGAATTGTTTGTTAGCTCTGTATATAAACTAATTTTAGAAGTATCATCTTTTAGAAGTATCATCTTGAAGCTGGGGGTCAGTCCAGGTGACCCTGGAGGCCCCTTCTGACTTGCTCTGTTTTATGTTTCTATTTTCTGTGTTATATTTCTTATATCTGATCTCATTAGGAATATAGGATATGGGCTTATACAAGGTCATATTATTTGTTCAACCAGCCAGTACTTCCTACTCTGACTGGCAGAAACTCTCCAGGGTCTTAGTCAGAAACCTCTTCCATCACCTGATACCAGAACCTTTTTATTAGAGTTTTTGGGTATTTAACATGGAACCTGCTGCATGAAGAGGATTCATTCTACCACTGAAGATCCTTTCCCTCAATAGATACATATGTTGCCAGTTAAATAAAACAATGTAACATTTCAAATTAAGTAAGATAGGACTCAGATGATCTCATTAATTACCAACCATGGTTTTTATCCCCAAAACCAAAGAAAACTTCACATAAAACATAATACTGGATGCATTTGGAATTGTTTGTAGCTGCTTGCTAAAACAATATTATGATGTTGATATGATTCTTAGCTTTAACTCAGGTGGCGGCGGTGGCTGCTAACTTATTTCTATACCACCCAGGAGCTGAAGCTCTCTGTTTATCCGAATACTGCATTTATTCATGTTTGCAACACCAGATATTCTTCAAACTTCTTGCTTTGAGTCCTACAGGCAGACAATTGCTTTCTGGAAGAAAATTTTAATCATTATCTCTTCCAAAACTAGATGCCTCAAAGAGGGTTATGACTCCTTTTTTGGGACTTGAGTCACAGGATGTTCTACCAGTTGCAGCAATTGTTCTTAATTCAAAGAAATAATAAAAAGAAAAAAACCTCTAGGAATATATGCAAATCTTATACAGAATTCTGTGTCTGTCCTTGTTAAAAATGTTAAAATGTTAAAAAGAGCTATTGCCAATTTTGAAAACCTGTGCACTTTTTTTTGCATATCCTTTATCACTAAGTCAAATTATATTGAGCAGAAGAATACATAATTAATTTAAGGAACAATGCTATTCACTCAATCCTATTTAGAAAAAAGTCACACAACTCCCAATATTCTTCAGCCAGCATGGCTGGATGGTAAATAGGATTTATAGGATTTTTTCTTTCTAGACCTGCATAACATTGTACCCTTAAAAAAAAAACTGAACTTTTAGGACCAAAATAATATTCTAGATTGCAAGCTTCACACCTGCAATTTTCTTTTTATATTCCATATGCATAATTGGTACTTTTGTGAATGTCATCATATTTAATTCAATCTTTACATTGCATTAATAATATTTCAGTCACTGACATCTCAGTTCTGATTAGCAGCATATGGAGGCAAGGATCTTGAATCTGCATTTTGATGCCAGGCCCTCATATCTCATGACTTTGTACTCAAGATGCCAAAACACTGCAGAGTCATCTCAGAGAATTTGTCTCTTCACTGGGATAGAAAAACTTAGGTCAAATCTGCTTGTCATGTCCTGGGGAGAGGGTGCAATCCCTCTGCAGCTCTTGAAGGAAAGGACAGTTATAAATTCCAGATTTTCCCTTTCCCTCCAAACTATCACTAGCTGTTTGAAATATTAGAAATGTTTTATAAGTATATAAGCATTGTCAAATGCATCATTACTGTGAAGCGATCCTTTATGTTCTTTTGGCTTCACCTTATCAAAGTTAAATCATTTAACTTGAATGTGGAAACTTTAGCAAGAACTCTCTAACATTTTGTTTCCATAGAGGAATTCTAGTCCTTCATGGAGTGATGAAAAAGAAGGAAATCTAACAGAATTAGTTCTTCAAAATGAAATTAAGGTATGTACATGCCATAATTTTCCAACATCTGTGCAGTGAGGATTGTTGGCTGATCTTTTATAAACCTTTGTTTTCAGTGGAAGAAAATCTGCAGACATCATTTCCAAAGGTCATTTGTAAAATCCCCCATGTGGAGCATCCTGTAAATGCAAGTGAATTAAGAAAGCCATTCTAAGGCACCAGGGTATCAAACTAAGAACTCTTGGCAGTGAGGATCAGGTGCCTTAATATTTTATTTATTTATTTAATACATTTTATACCATCCAATAGCCTGAAGTCTCTCTGGGTGGTTAATTTGTGCCACTGTTGCAGTTAGCAAGTGGAGGAAACTTTGGGTCAATTACGCTGTTATGTTACAACATCACCACTAGAAATAGTAAGCTGGAGTAGTACTGCAGCTTTCAGCCCAGCAGGGGCTTGGTAAAACAAGGAATTAACAGGTTCTATAAAGCTTCTGACTGTATCTTGGCTCCTTGGTTTGAGCAGATCTTCTCCAATAACTACACTGATGCCTGTCTTAGTGCTGTGGAATCATCCACTTGCTTCTGGATCACAATCCTAGCCATAAACAGGCTGATAGGCACTATTTCTCAGCCATAATCATGGTAATTTGTACTCTTTAATGATGTACTCAATTGCAATTAAAATTGGCATCACATGATGTTATTATAACAAGCACTATTTTTCTCCCCATTTACCATCTTCAAAGATTGACCGGCTGACCAAAGACTGGACAGATAAGTGGATTAACAGGAAAGCTATCATGGAAGAATATAGTGTGGATATCAACAGAAAAAAAGCTGGAGTGATGATAGACTCAAGTTTACCTCATTTAATGGCTGTTGATGATGATATCCTTAGTACCGGAGTTGTTCTTTATCATCTCAGGGTGAGATGGGATACATTTTTTTCAAATGTTAACAAGTATAATAATGGATGAAGAGTAAAAGGTTGTATCTTCTTGTAAAATATGGGCACAAATCTTATATGAAATTTTAAAGTTGTGAGGGAAAATGATTGTACTCTTCTTTAAGTGGAGTTTAAATCTGTTTTGAGAGATATGTAATCTGTAGTACTCCACCAATATTAAATATAAAATTACATTTCTAAATTAAGCCGCCCCGAGGCTTCGGCGAATGGGGCGGCATAAAAATGTTTTAATAAATAAATAAATAAATTATGCATCCTATTCTTAATATGTTTGTTTATAGATCTGGTAAACAGAAAGGAAGGTTATAGGTTTTTTTGCTTGATCATTACTATGCAGACATAAATAAAAGCAGGTTTTTAGGGAAAGCCCAGATAATAAACATCCCACTAATATTTTTTTCCTTTCTGTGTCAATGGCCTTATGTGAATGCTGACATGGGTTGATAAAAAGTTACTACCTTTTTTTTGAAATATGGATAGTCTAAAAAAAAAAAAACTTCAGAAAGACTCAACTTGCCAAATATTTCTCATATATAGCTTTTACCACTTTAAATGAGCTTGTGAAAGTTTAATTACATGACTACTAAGAATTTCATGTCAGAGGACACAGGAAGTAGGAAGTTTCTTAAAGACCTTCACATTGCCAAAGAGCTGCTTTATATTCTCCTATCTATATTCTGTAGGTAATTAGAAAATTAGGAAAGCCAGGGTGAGAAATGTTAATCATCTAAAAAATGGAAGGCAATGATACAAATAGTAATATATGCTGCTTAAATTTATTTTCATGGTAGGCGTGTCATGAGTGGAGCTGGGGGTCAGACTAGATGGCCCAGGAGACCCCTTCTGACTTGCTCTATTTCTATGTCAAAATGTACTTTGTAATGCAAGCAACTTTCCCTCTTTCATTTATGCATCTAATTTCCTATGTATTCTTTTAAGAAAATTATAGTAAGAACTTGCTTTTTGTTGTGATTTATTCCCCTAAAATTGTTTAGCAAACGGCTTCCTTTGAAATTTTCCATTAAGGAATCCTGTTCAAGAAATGTGTGAAACATGTACACTCCATATTCTCTTCTCTTTTCTTTTTCTGAACTAACTTCCACTGTTGAAAACAAGCCTTTTGAATATCATCTCATTTCAGCTGGCAAGACATTTCTATAATTTCAAACAACTTGCTTGCAGTTAGTCAAGTTAATCTGTCCTTTTACTTCTTAAAAAGCAATGATGATCCAAGAATGTTAGTGTTCACATTTTTCATTGCACATTCCTTATATGCATTGGTCATCCTTAATCTTAAAGTTGTGGCACATACAGGTTCTCATGATTGAATATAGTTTTGGTTATTTGGGACAGGTGCAGGATGCCATATTTGCTTAGACAAAATGCATCTACCTAGGTGTCCCATTGAAAGAGGAAGTTGAACCCTTTCCACAATACTTTTTTTGTTTGCTAAAATTACGTGTCTATTGGGAAAGGAAAAGTCTTTAACACAGCAGAATAATTATTTTTCCACAAGTATTGTAATTTTTACGATACTTGATAAAGACTTGAGATACTTTTGCACAGAAGGAAGCCTGGTTTGCATGCTCAGCAACAGGATCCTCATTAAGCCCTCTTATCTATTTCATTTATACTGCACTAACAACTTTGTACCTTATTTCTTTGCTTTTAGATGCTGCCTTTTCTTTTCTTTATGCTTTGCTTTTTTAGATTAAGGTTACCTTCATCTGAGGAGCAAGAAGGTAAAATACTATTTTTTTCCTTTATATTGTCATAATTTTCATGGTAGTATGAGAGGTCAACACATGAGCAGTTGTTAGAGATAGGACTGATTCCTTTGGGGATGAAGGGAAACCAATATTTTTCTGCATACTTGACAAGCGAGAAGTTCCCCTCTGTTCATAGGTGTCTCCATACTATTTATTTATCAATTAGAGCAGAACTGCCTGTTTTGCTATAAGAGGAAGTGCTACTCCCGTAAGACATTGGATTGAAAGAAAAGGCCTGCCAATAAATATAGGGAAGCAGGAGCAACTTCTGACAATTTTTTTTCTATTTGTGTAGCCTTGAGCAATTTGTCGAAGTTAGCATAGCTAATCCTTTCCTCTGTATGAGTTCTAGACAAGTCTAACACAACACCACAGAAATATGGCCAACTCCAACAAAGATGGAGACAAGGAACAGCCTCCAATTCCATGGACAGAAACTGATCAGACTGGCTGTTAAATTTAACTTCAATGTGGGATGGAACAGCATTGACCACCAGAACTGAAGGCAGCATGTTAGTTTAGGAAGTGCAGAACCGGTTGTGTGGCACACAAGGCTCCATCTGTGAATTAAAAAGAACAGCCAGAAGTTTAGAATGAAAAGCTAGGGGAACTGCTTTCCTGCTTCTCCTGCCGCTTTCCTTATTCACCTTCCTCACTCTTTCTAATGGAAATGTCAGTCTTGCAATGACTATAATTCACTCACCACTGCAGCATTTAATAACGATTGTTATTTTGTTGTGCTACCCATCCCTTCACTTTTGTCCTTGCAAGGTATAGGTTTCCTTTTTTAAAAATTGTTTATCCTTTACATTGTTCCTGGCAACAACTTTTGCTTCATTCATTGCATGGGGAAATAAAATCGGTCTGCTTCATTTTGATGCAAATGAAGTAAATGAAGATGAAGTTTACAATTCTGCTTGTACTTTAAATTGTTTCTGAGATGCCACTGATTTCAATAAAAACTAAGAACTGTTGTATGCCAGGCTGTAGCCTAGCATTGTATCATACTGCTAGTAGTAAAGTTGAGTTCAGATGTGTGTATAATTAACTAATTGATTTTATAAAGAGATTTTATACATCAAATGAGACTCCTGAAATTCTCTTACACCAAGAGGCAACTGTTAGAATAGTGCATTGGTTTAGTAATACTATTCTTTGTTCTTGGACTCAGAATTTAGTTGTGAAATGTTGTACTTTATTGTATGGAAAATATTTGAAAATATGCATATTGAATAACACACATGTCCTATATTCTATTTAATAGTTCTTGGGGCATCTATTTCATATTTAATCAGTAATAGATCTCTTAAAGTGTGGCATGCCAGTAATAGTATTAGAACATTTTCTTCCTCCTAACATAAATTCACCTACCAGTCATCATTGTTCTTTGGTAATGAAACATACAAATGTGATTATGTTTATTTATTTATTATTTATTTATTAAAATATTTCTATGCTGCCCCTTGCCGAAGCCTCGGGGTGGCTTACAACACAATAAAATACAATAAAATACAAAAATAACAATATAACATTAAAATTAACAATATAAAATAAACAAACACTATAAAAGAACAATATAAAAGAAGTCGCCCTGGCCAGATAAATAAGCAAATATTGTTAACAATTAAAATGACGTTTAAATAAAAAGGTCTTCACCTGGCGCTGAAAAACAAATAATGACGGCGCCAGGCGGACCTCTCTGGGGAGTGCATTCCATAGATTATGTGACTATAAATTAATTATACACACACACACACACTCATCCTATATGTTTCCCTCTGTAAATATATTTTTGCCTCAGTGAATATTAAAATTGTTAGGATAATTCACAATTAGCTTGTGACTGATTATCACCTAGATGATTACAAAAAATTCTAAAAATGGGGCATTTGTACAGCTCTTCCTCAAAATAGAGTATTCGGAATGTAACTCCAAAGGTTTATGATAGTACCAGGACATACTAAAAGCTGAAATTTGACATATGTGTAGCCTATGAAATTTAGATTGGAGTAAGAAAGCAATTTGACGGTCCTCAGGCAGCATCCGAGGGGTGATAGGATGCTACAGATGCTGGAGGTACAGCTTCAGTCTTGAGGGAGGAAATCTTGCAGATGTCTCCATTCCCAGCCCCTCACACAGCTGCAGAAGCTCCTAATCCTAAGGTCACCACCTTGGAAGAGGAGGAAATTGCATTTGACAGTAGTCCAAAATCTGAAAGAGACACCCTGAATAGGAATGAGAGACAAGGCTCTGAATAGGAATGATGATTAAGGTGTGTGCTTCCAAATTTGTCAAATACTTCCCAACTCCCCAGTAAACACATATAGCTCCTTAAAAAGAATGCCTGAAAAATGGAACATGTCCTGCAGCATTACAAAGTCTGATCTACCATCTAAGAGCAAGACAAGACCTGGATGAAATAATGGACAATGAGGATTGTATTTTGGCAATGGAACACTTCCGGTTGCAGCTCAAAGTATCTGTCATGTCTGCAGAATGCAAACTTGATTCACTAGTGTCTCATTTAAAAACAAGTCCATAGGTTCAATTTGACAGAGAATATATACATGTACCAAAATCTTTTCAAGAATTGCTTCATTTATTGTGGTTTGTTTCTATTTTGTAGGAAGGAATCACCAAAATTGGAAGAAGTGATTCAAATCAGGAACAGGATATTGGTAAGAATAATGAGAAAGATCTCAAAATCTTGTAGAAAAGTAGGACCTCATAAACTTTTTCTGCAAGTTCCATTAAGAACATCATGACAGCTAGTATTTTATTTATTTACTGCTCAGCTTATGTTACTTTATATTATGGTGCGTTACAGCACTCTTAATATTCATGGAGGTCAAATGATCAATATTAAAATTTCACAAATAATATTCCTCCTAGTGTTTCTTTCACTGTTAGCTTGAGTTTGCCAGTACCACAAGTTTAAGGGCATAGCAAGTATATAAACAGCACTTGCACATTCCTCCTTTCCTTTTGCAAGTTTGTAAATTAATATAGTTTTGTAATTTTATTTTTATTTGGAAAGGTGCCTTGGGCATCTTTTTGTAAGACTGAAAAGTGTGATAATATTGAGGCTTGTCTGAGCCTGAGTTTGAGTTTGTCGAGAGTTAAGAGATTGAAACTAGGAATTATGGGACCAGCCACTAAGGATCGAAGGACAACCCAGGAACTAGACCAAAGACCAAGACAAATGTCAGGATCCAAGGATGACCGAGGATATAGGAACATGTTTGAGCTCAGGAACATCTTGAGAAAGGTTCAGCTGAAACAACTTAAGCTGTTACCTGCATTTCAGTGATTTACCAGAAAGGGGAGCTGTGTACATTTCCTGGAGCTCATGAAGGGTAGATATATGAGCTCGTAACATACCTGAATTAATACTGTATTTTTAGTTGGTCAGTTCTGTATACGAGCTCGTAACATACCTGAATTAATACTGTATTTTTATTTGGTCAATTCTGTCTTGCAGCTTCTGCTTCTTTTATTACTTCCTCTTCATTAAGGCAGCAGCATTTCTAATGAATAGGCTCTTAATTGCACTTACTCCATTCCTGTTTTTCATGTGAACGCTTTCATTACAGGGTTTATTTCAATATTTTAACAGAAAAAATAGCACTGCTTTGCTATTTAAAAAGGGGAAAAAGATAAGAACTAAAATTCTCTTCCAGTGCTGTAAGTATGAGTAAGGAAGAAGCCAGTAATGAGCATTTCGGGGTACCTTTACTCATATATTGTATATAATAAAGGTATACCATATGCCTTTACTCATACTTAGATACATACTTAGATATACTTCTAAGTAGACAGTTTAGAAGAACCTTAGCCTGGGGAATGATGTTGATAAAGTAGCACTGTACTAAGTTGCAAGTCTCAACAATACTAACTTGCTTTAGCGTGAAAGCGATCTTCTGTGGAAAAATCTGTGGTATAATGGATTAAAGTAAACCCTATTAGCATATTTTTCCATCTATAAGATGCCCCCAGGTATAGGACGCCCCCTTTTTTTACTGATCTCTGAGCAAGCAAGCTGCTGCTGCGCATGCACACTACCTCCCCACACCTGAACACGCCCACACCCATCTGCCCCCCCCCCGAGTGTGCCGGGCCTGCGCCAGTCTCCGCCCCCCCCAAGCACGTCCACAGTTCTCCTTTCGGACCCCCCATGTATAAGACGCCCCTCCATTTTTAGCTAAATATTTTAAAGAAAAAGTATTGTCTTATACACGGAAAAATACTGTCCTTTACTGCAGAACTGGACATAAGAAAGGTTTCCTTGAGATAGGAAATGTGCACGTGCTTTCTGAGGACAGAAAGAAGCAATACCGTACCTTTCAGAATCCTGAAATATGTCCTCGATAAGAATTGCAGAAGGGGTACCATGCCTGCCTAGGTCATTTTGATGTAATGCTCTACCAGAATATATGACCTAGACTTTTTCAGCATGTCAGGGACAAAAATAACCCATATAGGAAATTGCTGCCCCTATTGTCCAATAGAGCAAGCATCTGCTCCCCAATGCTCCTGGAGACAAGCTAGATTATGATGAAGGATTATTTCCATTGAATGCAACACTTATTAGGAAGAAGGTTTAACTGTTTTAATGTAGACAAATATGTTTAAGCTCATCACTGTGGTACTTAGGTTGTGGACCATCTGGCAGAGACTTGTCATCTAAAATATTTTGTGAATTCTGTAGAGTATTTGAAGCATTGTACAATTTAGTCTCATTAATATATCTGGGTAGTGACACTAGAGTTTTGTATGCCCAAAATACAAAGAATTAGCTTTTAAATAAAACTCAGGTATTAAGTTGAAAGAAAGAAAGAAAGAAAGAAAGAAAGAAAGAAAGAAAGCAAGCAAGCAAGCAAGCAAGCAAGCAAGCAAGCAAGCAAGCAAGCAAGCCATACCTTTTCTAGCTGTGCTATCATCCACTTTTGCAGTTTTGCAGGGTCAGTGGATTGAACGGGACCATTGTGTTGTAGATAACCAGCATGGGATTGTGACTCTGCAGCCACTTCAGGGAGCACACTGTGTTGTGAACGGTCAAGAAGTCACAGATTCTGTTCGTTTGTCACAAGGTAAATCCTATATCACTGCTTTACAGCAATGCTGCCATCAGCCATACCTAGTGTACGCAATGCTTTAAGAATAGTATCATTCATTTAATGAGATCAGAACTTACTTTCAGATATGGAATAGCTCGATCCTAAACATGTTTACTCAGAAGTAGGTCCTGTTGATTTAAGTAGAACTTACTTCTGAATCAGTGCACATCATTGTTATGTGTCATCAAAAGTTTCCAACTTATGTCAACCTTATGAAAGAAAGCCCTCCAAAATGTCCTAGCCATGGCAGCGTGGCTCAGCTCTTGTAAGTTCAGTTCTTGTAAATTCAGATGGATTCAATTCACCTCATATTTGGCCTTCCTTTTCTTCTTCTGCCTTCGACTGTTCCTAGCATGAATGTCTTCTCTAGAAACTGTTGCCTTCTCATTATATGCCCAAAATAGGGCAGCCTCAATTTTGTCATGTTTGCTTCCAGCTCTCGTTCTCTCACCCATGCACAGTAATAGGGAATACAATAGTGTGGATGATCTTGGTCTTGGTCTCCAGTGAAACATCCTTACACTTTATGATCTTTTCTAGTTCCTTTATGGCTGCCATTTCTAGTCTCAGTCTTCTTAGAATTTCTTGGTATGCAAAATCTGTCATAATTTAAATTTCATTGTTAACAGTGAGCTCTGTAATTCTTCTCTAGCTATGCTTTTTATTTTCTTAATATTCAGCAGCAGCCCTGCTTTTGCATTTTCTTCTGTCACTTGCATCAGAAATTGTGCTGCTTTCTCCCAGGATGGTATTATATTACACATCTTATATTACTGATGTGTCTTCTGCCAATTTTCACTCCTTTCTCTAACTCAGATCCAGGTTTTCTTATGCTGTGTTCTGCAAAAAGAATGAACAAATCAGATAAAGCACCCCCTTGTCTAACACCTTTGCCTATAGGAAACCAGTTTTTCCCCCATATTCTGTCGCAACAATAGCTTATATAAGACATGCATCAGGGCAATCAGGTGCTGAGGTAACCCCTGGGGACCATCCATAGGCTTTCCTATAATCAATGGGATAAACCAGTGATGGCAAACTTTTAGAGACCAAGTGCCAAAACTGCAACCCAGAACCCTGGTGTACTCCCCTAACCCTAATATAAAGGTGAAATACCATTGAGAGGGGTGATTTTCAGTCCGGCTTCAGACCCGGGTACAGTACTGAATCTGCCTTGGTCGCCCTGTACGACGACCTGTGCAGGGAGAAGGACAGGGGGAGTACATCCCTGTTGGTTCTTCTGGACCTCTCGGCGGCTTTCGATACCATCGACCATGGTATCCTTCTGGATAGACTTGCGGGATTGGGGGTTGGAGGCACTGCTTTGCAGTGGTTCCGCTCCTATCTCGACGGTCGATTCCAGAAGGTAGTGCTGGGGGACCATGTCTCTACGTCATGGCAGCTATGCCATGGGGTACCACAGGGCTCCATTCTATCCCCTCTGCTATTTAACATCTATATGAAACCGCTGGGAGAGGTCATCAGGAGGTGTGGGCTGCGGAATCATCAGTACGCTGATGATACCTAGCTTTACCTCTCATTCTCCACTAATCCAGGTGAGGCAGTGGCTGTGCTGAACCGGTGCTTGGCCGAGGTAAGGGAATGGATGAGGGCCAATAAACTGAAACTCAACCCAGACAAGACGGAGGTCCTGTTGGTTGGCGGATCGGGTTTCGGAGAGGGTGGATTTGACCTGGTCCTGAATGGTGCAACACTCCCTCTTAGGGATAAGGTCCGCAGCTTAGGAGTACTCCTCGACCCGGAGCTTTCTTTGGAAGCTCAGGTGACAGCGGTAGCGAGGAACGCCTTCCTTCAGCTTCGGCTGATTAATCAGCTGCGCCCCTACCTGGAGTACGACTGCCTGGCGACGGTGACACACGCGCTGGTGACTTCCCGCCTAGACTTCTGTAACGCGCTTTACGTGGGGCTTCCCCTGAAGACAGTCCGAACACTTCAATTGGTGCAAAATAGAGCTGCCAGGTTGCTGACGGGGACGGGGCGTTATGCTCCCATGACTCCAGTCCTCCGTCAGCTTCACTAGCTTCCCATTGAAGCCCGGGCCCAATTCAAGGTGTTGATTATGACCTACAAAGCCCTAAACGGCTTGGGTCCTGGCTACCTGAACGAGCGCTTACGTCCGTATATGCCCGACCACCCTTTGAGATCTGCGGGAGAGTCCCTTCTCCGGGAACCCTCCATGAAAGAAATTAGGAGAGTAAGTACCCGGAGGAGGGCTTTCTCTGTGGTGGCGCCCAACCTATGGAATTCACTCCCCAAAGAGGTCCGCCTGGCACCGTCGTTACTGGTTTTTCGGCGCCAGGTAAAGACCTTTTTATTTAAACATCATTTCAATTGTTAAAACATATGATCTGGCCTGGGCAACTTCTTCTTCCTTCTCTTTCTCCTCCTATATTTTTATTTTATACTGATAATTTTAATTTTGTATTTGTAAATCAATGTATTTTTTGTATTTTTATATTTAATGGTAATTTATTATGTACTATTGTATTTCAATGTATTTTATCATGTTGTAAGCCGCCCTGAGGTTTTGGCAAGGGGCAGCATAGAAATGTTATAATAATAGTAATAATAATAATAATAATAATAATAATAATAATTTTGAAAAAGCCTTCCTTGAGTAGCTTTTTCTGCACAGCTAAACTTTTCTACCCATTCTGAACACATTCCAAACATCAAAATCATTCCAGGGCACCTCATTTTTCTAACCCAAACCATACCCTAGTACACACCCCTAACTCTGCTATAGGGGTAAATTTGCATTGAAAATAGGACAATTTTGAAAAAGCCTTCCTTGCGTAGCTTTTTCTGCACAAATCAACATTTTCACCCATTCTAAACACATTCCAACCATCAAAACCATGCTAGGACACCTCATTTTTCTAACCCCAACCCTATCCTGGTGCACAAGCCAAACCCGCATATAGGGGGAAATTCCATTAGAAATAATGTGATTTTGAAAAAGCCTTCCTTGTGTAGATTTTTCTGCACAGCTCATCCTTTCCACCCATTCTAAACACAATCCAACCAACAAAACCATGCCTGGACACCTCGTTTTTCTAACCCCAACCCTACCCTGGTACAGAACCCTAAGCCTAATATAGGCATAAATATTTATTTAAAATAATGTCATTTTGAAAAAGCCCCCGAGTAGATTTTTCTGCACAGCTCATGGTTTCTGCCCATTCTAAACACATGCCAACCATCAGAACCATGCCAGGACACCTCGTTTTCCTAACCCTAACCCTGCCCTAGTGCATACCCCTAACATTTTTATAGGGTTAAAGTTCCATTGAAAATAAGACGAATTTGAAAAAGCCTTCCTTGTGTAGATTTTTCTGCACAGCTCATTCTTTCTGCCCATTGTAAACACAGTCCAACCATCAAAGCCAAGCCAGGACACCTCATTTTTCAAACCCTAACTCCACCCTGGTGCACACCCCGTTGTTGTCTCTTTCCCGCCCTTAGCAACTCTGAGTGTTCCTTCTGTCATCCATTTTTGCTTTGTCTTTTGTTTTTTTACAGGTATTGTCTTTTTTCATTCTTCTCTAGTTTCCGTTGACAGTTCTTCTGTCTCATGATCAATCAATTAATCAAAATGCAAAGCTGTGCTTTATGAGGACTCAGAGATGTTATTCAAGTTGTATTTCAGTACCTTGTTTATATTAGTGATATTTTAAACTTGAATCTGATTTCTGATATTAAGAGTTTGTTTTCACTACCACGATCTGCTCCTGATCTTATTTTGGCAGTGAGAATATACAGTAAAACCTTGGATTACAAGTAACTTCATCTGCAAGTGTTTTGTAAGAAGCAAACAGGTTTTCTAAATTTTAACTTGATAAACTAGTGATGTCTTGCAGTACAAGTATTATGCGCACTTCGTCTGCCGAGCGTCACGTCACAACTGATTGTCGGTTCTTCTGTCTCTCTTTGCAGGTGTGAGTACTGCATCACCTCCCTGCACGAGCGCGCCCCCAATTGCGCCCACCTCCCCCCCCCAAGTGTGCCTGCTTCAAATTTTTGTGATTTTTTTTTTTTAAAGTTACAGAACAGATTAATCTTATTTACATTGAAGTTTATGGGGAAATTCGCTTTGTTATACAAGTGGTTTGGATTACATGCATGTTTCCGGAACGAATTATGCTTGCAATCCAAGGTTTTACTGTAGCTACTCCATCTTCTGCTTTCCATTACATAGTCTGTTTGATTTCGGTATTGACCATCGGGTGATGTCCATGTAGACAGTTGCCCAAAAGCTGACTGGTTTTACAGAATTCAATGAATCGTTCTTCTGCTTTGTTTCTTACCCCTAGGCTAAATTTCTATAGAATATTTGATTCTGCTTTGTTTCCTACTTTTGCATTCCAAAAATAGTAATCACTTTATTACCACCGTGCAAGTTAATAGCCAGACTTGAATTTAAAATTTAGCTCCAGTGGTCACTGATGAACACTGTCTTCTGAACCACATTGGCTATATGTCTGCTGTGTATATTTGATAGTTTTGGCTTAGAGTTTCTAATTACATTCTGAAAAAATGTCTCTGCATTCTGAGTCTTGTGTTCATTGAAGTCTTTAATGCAAGAGCAGACACTTAGGCATGGCAGATGATGATAAATGTAACGTAACATACTAAACATAGGCTACTGATTCACCTTGTCTCATTTCAAGTTACTTTCAAAGCAGAACTAATATAAAGCTGCCTTCATAATCATCATGCTACTTTCCACTTCCATGCAGGACCCCAACTATCTTATTAACACATTTACCCTTGCATTTTGCATTGCAGTTATTTTATTTTTTATTTTTTTTTATTAAAACATTTTTATGCCGCCCCATTCGCCGAAGCCTCGGGGCGGCTTACAACAATAAATAAAACCAATAAGTTAAAATATACATATAAAATAATCATAATAATTTAAAACACACAATATAAAATAAGCCGCCCTGGCC